GGTCAGCGTTAATCTTGTCATACTTAGCTATGGGCAGCTATAATCTTGTCATACTCAGCCATGGTCAGCTATAATCTTGTCATACTTAGCCATGGTCAGCTATAATCTTGTCCTACTTAGCCATGGTCAGCTATAATCTTGTCATACTCAGCCATTGTCAGCTATAATCTTGTCATACTCAGCCATGGTCAGCTATAATCTTGTCATACTCAGCCATGGTCAGCGTTAATCTTGTCATACTCAGCCATGTTAAGCGTTAATCTTGTCATACTCAGCCATGGTCAGCTATAATCTTGTCATACTTAGCCATGGTCAGCTATAATCTTGTCCTACTTAGCCATGGTCAGCTATAATCTTGTCATACTCAGGCATGGTCAGCTATAATCTTGTCATACTCAGGCATGGTCAGCTATAATCTTGTCATACTCAGCCATGGTCAGCTTTAATCTTGTCATACTTAGCCATATTGAACTTTTTAACAAAGACCTTGACTTATTGTAAGCAGCTTTTCTGTTCAACGGTCACCCATATGAACATTTTCCGCGCAATCACAAGCGAAACCAATGACAGCTACCTTAGGAAGACTGGTCTTTGTCGATTTGACTGAATCCCCAAAGTTTATTAAACTATGCCCATAATGTAATAAATAATGGTATTTAAATGCTATGATACATGACATAAAACTGATCTGCTAAGAGTACATTACAGAAACGTAGATCCTTACCTGATCGTAGCGTCTAACCCAATAATTTGAGTTGCTTTTCTGTACTTCACGATGCAAAGTCCACAAACAAGACGGCGACTTGGTGCTTTTTAAATAATGTTAACTTTTCGAACCCGATCTTCCAGCTGGTGTATGTGTGTCGAAGTTTGGGTACTATGTGTAACTTAGCCGAAGTTACATTAGCATGACAGCCTGTGACAGTACACTAACAGCGCAGTAGTTCACCATAATACGCCATGTGGACAGCTGGGGACTCGTCTCGAATGGTCTCTAAACTTGGCAGTGGATTTAAATAAACAGTAAAAGTTACATCAATTGAGTTAACAAGTGATAACAAGTTGTTTTATTAAGATAAACATTTTATTTTTATGTACATTGATTTTTTCGAAATTAAGGGACAATGAATTGGTTTCATGGGCGTGTCAAGAGCTTAAATTTATTGTGGTGGTGATGATGATGATGATGGTTGAGTACGTTTATAGCGCTTGTGTCCATGCTGTTTTATCATGCTCACAGCGCTCTGGCGTCCTAAAGTCTATGTAAAGAAAAAAGTCTTTAAATGGTTCTTAAAATAAATTTTATCCTTTTCAATCTCCCTCAAAGATTCAGGCAAACAGTTCCACAATTTAGGCGCAATAGCTTCAAAAGAGCGCACCCAATAAGACTTCTTTATGTGTCTATCCACACTAGGAACTCTCCGTAAAGACTGTGTTGAAGAGCGCATGTTCTGTATGACAAGTTTAAAAATTGTGCATTCTCCCGTAATGTATAAAAAAAAGGTTTAAATTAAAGTAACGATAAAGACAGCGTACAGTTGAGAGGACATAAGGGGGATTTTGCTTATATCGCACATTTGAGAAGAATACAAATATGTGATTTTGATTTAAATGTTACATTAACTTGGATAAATTTTGTTAAACAAATTGGCGAAACCAATATGAAACTGTTTTAAAAATACCGGTAACTAATATTCTATATTCTAAAACTAATAAGGCTGTATAAATCAACATCTTCATTTTATTACACATAACAACCTCCCACACCTTCATGAATTTAGATCTAAATGTTTTTTCAAAGCTACGTCACGGATACCCATTATTTCTTTTACCGTGATTAAAATTTAAATGTAACTCTGCGTCGTCATTTTCTAAAGAAAAAAGGAAAAGTGTCTTTTTAAGAAATTGGATGACTTTAGGCCCTGACAAAAATATGACAGTGTTCTGGACACAGTTACAGCTCAACATATGACAGTGTTCTGGACACAGTTACAGCTCAACATATGACAGTGTTCTGGACACAGTTACAGCTCAACATATGACAGTGTTCTGGACACAGTTACAGCTCAACATATGACAGTGTTCTGGACACAGTTACAGCTCAACATATGACAGTGTTCTGGACACAGTTACAGCTCAACATATGACAGTGTTCTGGACACAGTTACAGCTTAACGCTGTCATTATAAAACAATATTATCATCATTAAAACGTTGTTTTTTTTTCTCTTTCGATCTGTTTTTCAATTTATTGGTAATCTTTTAGAAATTAATCTTTACTCTTTATTCTAATTTTTATAACCTTTCCTTTTGCTTAGAAATCTGTGTAAGAGTAATATTTTCAGTGAAATAAACAGACATATTTTTTTTCTATTAATAAACACATTTTATTAACCGCTCAGACGTGCAAGACAAGGTGAAAACACTGTAACCGGTCGTTTGAAAAATATGCGAAACGTTTCAAACACAGTCATTTATTAAACAAATTAACACTACATAAGGCAAAACCAAATCAAAATAATATTTTTCTTAGATAAACAGGTTTCAAGAGAAAAAAAAATAATAATAATGCAGTCTGATTGACTACATCAATGATCTCAGTTTGGTATACAATACTACTTAAATGATCCTAGTGTGGTTTACAAAAACTACTTCACTGATCCTAGTTTGGTATACAAAACTACTTAAATGATCCTAGTGTGGTTTACAAAAACTACTTCACTGATCCTAGTTTGGTATACAAAACTACTTAAATGATCCTAGTGTGGTTTACAAAAACTACTTCACTGATCCTAGTTTGGCATACAAAACTACTTAAATGATCCTAGTGTGGTTTACAAAAACTACTTCACTGATCCTAGTTTGGTATACAAAACTACTTAAATGATCCTAGTGTGGTTTACAAAAACTACTTCACTGATCCTAGTTTGGCATACAAAACTACTTAAATGATCCTAGTGTGGTTTACAAAAACTACTTCACTGATCCTAGTTTGGTATACAAAACTACTTAAATGATCCTAGTGTGGTTTACAAAAACTACTTCACTGATCCTAGTTTGGCATACAAAACTACTTAAATGATCCTAGTGTGGTTTACAAAAACTACTTCACTGATCCTAGTTTGGTATACAAAACTACTTAAATGATCCTAGTGTGGTTTACAAAAACTACTTCACTGATCCTAGTTTGGTATACAAAACTACTTAAATGATCCTAGTGTGGTTTACAAAAACTACTTCACTGATCCTAGTTTGGTATACAAAACTACTTAAATGATCCTAGTGTGGTTTACAAAAACTACTTCACTGATCCTAGTTTGGTATACAAAACTACTTAAATGATCCTAGTGTGGTTTACAAAAACTAATTCACTGATCCTAGTTTGGTATACAAAACTACTTAAATGATCCTAGTGTGGTTTACAAAAACTAATTCACTGATCATAGTTTGGCTCACAAAACTATTTTCACCACATTTTGTTATGTTTTATTAAAATTCGTTTAAGGCGTCTTATTCACAAAAGAAAATTGCTACGTGTGTTATTGTGTCTTGCCTCCCTAGGTGAGAAATGAAAAATTCTACCCTTTTCCCTTTTACCACGGTGGTTCGCTCCCACAGTCATCCAGGCTAGAAGAATTAATGCATTAATATAGAAGAACTTGTATTAAACATAAAACTACAATAATATTAATTAATTTTTTTCCTCAATTTCATTTTTTTCTCCTCATTTGTCAATTTCTTCGCTGTATGATTTCAGAGAATAAAATTGTTTCGACTTTTTTGCCGCATTCCTCTAATTTGTCCGCCCCAGGTAAGAGTCTAGTCTCGACACACGAAATGAACGACCTGCTTATTTTGTATAGGCTTCTCATAAAATCAAATCATATGTAGATATAAGCTCTTTTTTTGTAACCTTTGTTTTCTTCTCTTCATATTGCATCTAGGCATCTATCTAAACGAGTGAAGCATCAAGAAAATAATCTTCAACTTTACGTGAATATGGAGTACTGATTTAATGAAGATGTATTACCTCCCTTGAGTCTGAATTTACGTGATAATGTAGTACTTATAAAAAGAACTTGGTATTGCCTCCCTTGAGTATAAATTTACGTGATAATGTAGTACTTATTTTAAGAACTCATTATTATCACCCCACCCCCCCCCCCCGTTTTTAGTCTATATGTTTTATGACATTTACCTCCCAATTTAATTATCAACACCTTTACCAATGATGATTCTTGGGTTAAAACTAAGGGTGTCAACATTTTCAACAATTGATGTTTTGTTGATTAAAAAAAAATAAGTTTGTCAACAAGTTCACCAATTTATTTTTTTTTAAAATTAAAATTAAGTATTTCAATACCTTAATGTTTTAGTTGTTTTTTTCTTTTTGTTAAAACCAAGTTTATCAACATTTTCACATATTTTTGTGGTTAAAATGAAGTGTGTCGAGCCCTTGAGAGATTAAGAATATTCTTAGGAAATAGATTAGAAAAAGTATAGTAATACGAGATCGAAATCAGTAAAAAAAAAAAAAACAATAAACAAATTCCCACAAGAGAAAAATGAAGATGTTGACAGACTCACCGCAACTAAGTCAAATTCGATAACAGTCGGTGCTTTGTTGACGTGTACATAACGAATTTTTAGGGCTCATCTGTAGGCTACAAATAATCTATAAACTTAATATTGCATAGTGATCTTTAACCTGAGGTACGTAGACACAGATGAAAATTCCAAATATTTACAAAATTCAAAATAAAAGTCCTACAGTAGTCATTAAACTAAAAAAAAAAAAAATAATGTCTACAAGGCCTACATTTAAAAAAAAAAATTGTTAAATTTTTTTAACAACAGGTAATGGTGACTTCAGCTCAAATGAATTTAATTTACAATACTTGTTTTGTTTTTAATCAATCTTTTTTTTTTTTTAAATTAGAATTTAAAAAACTTAAAGCATTTATTTCACTGTTTTCAAACAAATGTGACTAACAAATGGAATTCAATCTCTAAAAACAACTTTTTTATTTTATTGCTAGTAATTTGTGTTGGTTTTATTCATTTACAAATCAATATGTGCACATGTGTAAGTTAAAACATGAGAAAAAACATTGGCTATTTACAATTCCATATTCCCACATTGACAGCCCAGCTGATGCATTAATTACATCAAAGGCAAATAAAACAATAGATACTGGTACATTTGGTAAAAATTGTCGCAATATATGCATGCTCATAAATTAATGAAATCATATTTATTTTCAAAATTTATAAAATCTTCTTAATTAATTATTCCCTATTTGTGTGGATTTATGTCCATTTTATAATGCCTAATAACTTGCACACTGTAGATTACAGAATGGGCTATGTCTCTAGGTACAAAGAGAGCCCTGGTATGCTTAAAACATTACTTGTAAGTCTGTGTAAATAGTAAGTCCATTGTTGGTCTATAAGTAGAGTACATGGAATGATTCTGGCATATTTAATGACATTAAGTGTATGTCTGTGTAAATAGTATGTCTATGTTTCTGCTATTGAAAGCATGAAAAGAAAAAGTCAACAAAAGATATTGTATTTTAAAGAAAACGATAAATATAAACTTGCCAAGGTAACAAAATATTTAGTTATTTCATTGTCTGGAAAAAAAAAAAATAATAATGAAGACATATTTTGATAAACATAATTTCACTACAATATATATTTTAGTAAATTATATTTCTAGAAATTAGAACCAATCAAGTCTCAGTAATAGCAATGGCACTAAAATTTCAGTTTATAATAATAGAATTTAAATTAACTTTCTGTTGATTCTGAAACTAATAAGACGACTTAAGAAAATATTTCTCAAAAAAATAAATTTAAAAACATTTATCTTACAGTACCAGCTCCAGTAACAAAGTTTATAAATTACAATAGACCTTATGAATTACTATCTGATTGATGAATTACTATAAACCTTATGAATAACTATATAATTTATGAATTACTATAGAACTTATAAATTATTATAGACCTATGATTTACTATAGACCTTGTGAATTATTCTAGAACTTATGAATCACTTTAGACCTTATGAATTAATCTACACCCTATGAATTGCTCTAGACCGTATGAATAACTCTTCACCCTATGAATTGCTCTAGACCTTATGAATTACTAAAGACCTACAACTATTTTTTTAAAGTTATATACAAGCAGGTGTTCTCCGGTTAATTTAAATAAAAATATTCATATCATTTGTATGTCACATAACTTTATACATGTAACTTTATACAGTTAATGAGCCCATGCTTCTCATTAACCAGTTTCTAAATTTTTAAGAATCAACCACTGTTCAGTGTAAAGATTTATAATGGAATATTGGTTCTCTTCATTAACAATTATTATATAGTGTTTGAAAAAAAAGTTTTATATCTTGGTTATTTTATATAGTGATGTTACTTCGAATGTAAATGTGCATGACATACATCAAGTAGCCCAACAGTCTACACCCAACAAAAGCCCAATTGATCCAAAACCAGTGTTAACTAAGTGTTAAAATTTACATTTTATCACAGCATCATAGCGCGAGCTTCATGTCCATCCAACATATTTCATATAAAATGTACACACATAAACACATATAGAATTATAATTACACAAACAAGTCCTCTTCCCTCTATACATAGTAGATATTTATAGATATTTATGTGATAATTTTAACTATGCTTGAACATGGTAATGCAAGTAAAGTTAAAAGTGGTGTCAAATTTTTTACATTAAAAAAAATCACAGTGATTTCAGCAAATATGTGTCTGATAAAATAATGATAAAGTAACCATTTTTATTTTAATTGATTTTTGGTTCATTTTCTTATACATCTTTATTATTTGTTTCAGAATCTCATCATTTACATTAAAAGCGAAATCTGGTCTCTTGAAACTTATTAAATGTAACAATATTACAAAGGCTTAAAACAAAAAATTCAAATTTAGGCATTCTTCAAAGTAAAAATCATCAGTGTAAAAAAGGAATGGGTAAAGGTTCATCTTAAAATGAAAATTTAAGAGAAATTTGTTGTGCAAATCTACAATAGAAATAAACATCTTTTGTTAGGTATTTCAAAAATGTAATACCTGTTTCTTGACATAATGTGCAATTTAAGATGGTAAGGCGAAAATTTGCCTTTTATTTATGGAAATATTGCAGAGAAAAAATATTAGTGCTAAAAATAAATGGTTAGAATTAAAGTTACTTTTTAATAATGTATTATTTTACACTTAATTTATTGTTTGAATTGTTAAATTTAAGGCTTCTATTCTTTTTGAAAAAATTTAATTTGTTTTACTATTCATGGACAAATGATTGTTTATGGGACTTAAAAGTTCCATTTCCTGAGAAGTATTGTCTCATTAATCTTGAAACTCATCAAAATGAAATTAGATTTTTAAAAGCAACTCAAAGCTTCAAACACTAAGAGACATCAACATACCAACATAATAGTTATTTTTCTTAAATTATTTCCTTTTAAAATGTTAACAAAACTTATTGTTTGCTTTAAATAATTTAATTGAATCTTTCCTAGTTGAGTTAGAATTTTACTTATTAATGTAATCTTGTTTAACTACAATATATATCTTTTTACATTTTAATCTGATCTCAAAACTTTGCTCAGTAGTTTAGGTAGTTTAGTAAAATTGTTAAAGACAACAGGAAGAGGGGAAACAAATAGTGTGGAAAAAACTTAGATCTTGTAACCTTGCAATCATCATTTCTATTAAAAGCATTCCTAAGACAATGATGATTAATCAGGTTATTGAGACCGTGAAGATTATGAGGAAAAAAAGGTGTTAAACTACTGTATTAAGACAATACTTCAAATTATAATCATTTTGAGTGTTAAAGTAAGTAAAATCCTTTGCAATTATTTCTGTCACTTTAAGCCCACTTTAATGATTTGGTTCAATCATATTTTCACACACTTAGAGCGTCCCCTTCCCTTGTCCACTTCAACTGGTCATTGGGTGAGCTTCCCTTTCCTTTGTCCACTTGAACTGGTCAATGTTTTACAATCAACTCTGAAGCTTATGCCAGCAGCCCACCTGTTTTCTTGAATTGTTGACCATCTCCAGCCACTGGGCTCTAGCATCAGGGTCAAAGTTCACACCAAGGTACAACCGTCCCAGTAAATGGCGTCCGTCCTCTTTGTCCTAAAGACAGGACGTAAAATAAGATCAAGAGTATAAATACATACTTTCGATCTATACATACTTATATGCACAGTTTATACATTTAAATAATTGATGTTGACTTGATCCATTCTTTGTTTCAAGACCAATTCAATGATATTAATGTAACGCTACCAACTTTACAGTTTTTTGGTCAGTTGAAAAAAATCTGCGAGATGTCATTTACCTTGTCACCAATGATCGCAATGCTGAACTAGACTTTGCCCAGCTCCAGCTGATATGCTGGTACATCAAAAACAAAGGTTCATTTACCTTGTTGACACCAATGATGGCAATGCTGAAATAGACTTTGTCCAGTTGATACGCAGGTACGTCAAATACAAAGGTTTCGTTAAATACAGGATTCAGCTCACTTCCTTTCCCAGTAGTCTTTGTCTTCTTCAGAGGACGACCATCGTACATAAGAGTAATTTTAGCATGGATTTCTGAGGGATAGGCAAGACCAAAATATATTATTTCATTTGGGGCAGCATTAATGCACATTTACATAAATAAAAATTTACTGAAACAATGATGACACAATGTTGATACATGTTGACAAAATGTTGACACAAAGCTGACACAATACTGACATAACGCTGAACAAATTTTCACACAATCTTAATACAATGCTGACCAAATGTTGACTTAATGTTGAAAAAATGTTGAGAAAACACTGATATAATGTTGACACAATGTGAAAAAATGTAATTATTTGATTGTATCTTAAAAAGATAATGAGTTTCTAATTAATTAAATTTATAAAATTATCTTTTTATTAAATCAAGTGATGGAAATGCATGGCTATGATTGACATGATCCATTGGTTTATTTAGAAAATGCTGAGATTTGAAAAATCATAAACACAGAGTAGAACAAGCGAAGATCTCTGAACTGACCAATGCTTCTCTTGGCTCCCTCGAGAGGTATGAGATTCCGTGCATTGAGGACCATGACACTGAGTTTCTCTGCTGTGGGCAGGTACATGAGAGCCACATGTAGCTCACCTACATGCTCCTGTAACCGAAGAGAAAACAAACATACTTTTAACTTTATAGGCACACTCTCCTTCTGATCATCTAAAGCAGTGGTTCTCAGCCTTACTAATGTCGCGACCCTTTAACACAGTTCCTCATGCTGTGGTGACCCCCCGCCCCCAACCATAAAATTATTTTCATTGCTACTTCATAAATATGTGTTTCCCGATGGTCTTAGGCGACCCCTGTGTAAGGTTTGTTAAGCCAAAAAGTGGTTGCGACTCACTGGTTGGGAACCGCTGATCCAAAGCCAAAAAAGTATACATAATATATTAAAATGAGATGAACTTTATTTCACAAATAAAAATTATGATCTAGTTATACATGTCATATTTATCACTGTAATTCTCCATTGGTCAGCATTCTTAACTAGACCAACATATAGGGCTTTTATTTCTTCTTCTTCTATATCTTAAGGGCCCCCGATCAACTAGGCCAACATATGGGGCTTTTATTTCTTCTTCTTCTATATCTTAAGGGCCCCCGATCAACTAGGCCAACATATAGGGCTTTTTTTTTCTTCTTCTTCTATATCTTAAGGGCCCCCGATCAACTAGGCCAACATATAGGGCTTTTATTTCTTCTTCTTCTTCTATATCTTAAGGGCGCCCGATCAACTAGGCCAACATATAGGGCTTTTATTTCTTCTTCTTCTTCTTCTATATCTTAAGGGACCCCGATCAACTAGGCCAACATATAGGGCTTTTATTTCTTCTTCTTCTTCTATATCTTAAGGGCCCACGATCAATTTATTGATCCTTTTGGCTCCTATGGATGTAGATGGGATTTGCAATGTTTCTGTTCCTGGTATTGATGAGGAAATTTCACTGTTTCCCAGTGCCACTTTGTGAGGGAATTATGCACTAGGGGTTTGAAGGCTTGAGGCAATAGACATGCGGCCAACACTAGAGGTATTCCTGTAGCGGATTAGGACAAAGCGTGCTGCTCGTCGCTGGACCGCCTCCAACCTGTCAACGCTCTTCTGGGTAAATGGGTCCCAGACTGAAGATGCATAATCTAAAACCAGACGGACAAAGGCTTTATATGCTCTTTCTTTCACACAGGAGTTGCCAATCTTTAGATTTCGCCTTAAGAACCCTAGGGTCTTGTTTGCTTGTTTACATACATTGTTAATATGTTCGTCCCAGCGGACGATTCTTTAAGTGTGTTTATTTACAAACAATTTGAAAAAAAAATTTGTTACGAAAAAAATATTTATTTGCTTATTCCCACCTCTTGTGGCCCAGACAAAAGATCGTTAAATAACACCTCCTGCCCAGGTACTATTTCCATTTTAGACAAATCTTTTATTGTTTCACCTGTTGAGTATAAATAAAAGTAAGTTATCAGTTAGAAACAACTTAATACTAGATCTAATTATTGTTACACAAAATAATATATTTTTTATGATATCTGAGTCATTGAGTTTTTGTAATCGATTTATCAGTTTTAAAATATAAACCTATAATTATTTTCAATTTTATTTTTATTGACCATCAAATTAATTATTACAGTCAAACTGTATATTTGTGGAGTTATATATATCTTTTTAATTTTACAATGATATCATCCAGACTCCAAATTAAATGAGAATTCATGGAACTAACATTTCTACTTCAAACATTTGCTTTAAGCAGAAATGTCGAGCAGTTACATTTAAATTATCGTCGGAAATACTAAACAATGAACAATTATTTTTTTAATGACAAAGTGAAGGTATCAAACTTAATGTTGAAGTTATTTCATTATTAATTTTTTTTTTTTTTTTTAATGGCAAAAACAGAATGAATCAACACGCTGACTTATAAAATGTCTTGATCTTTATCAACTTTTAAGAAAATTAATTTATCTTTAAGAGCTATCAAGAAATATAATTTATCTTTAACGCCTATCCAGAAAAAAATAATTTATCTTTAACAGCAATCAAGAAAAATAATTTATCTTTTACAAGTATCAAGAAAAAAAATACGACTACGTGCTTTGAAGACCTACCCACTACAGCATGCCCTGAAGACTAACAAACAGCAACCTGTCTTGAAGACTTTCTGCACCATCGTGCCATTCAGTGTTTGTTGACCACAGAGTAAAACTCACTCAGAAATAACGTAGTGGCGTATTGATACCAATAATAATTTACAAAAGGAAAAGAAGGGACTATTTTGTCAGCCATATTGGCGAAGCATCTAAGATTAAGGAGTGATAGGAAGCATGTGCAATGTAAAAGTTGTGTCAATGGATCATCTGCAGTCATTTATGTAATTTGAGTTCATTATTATATTCTTTAGTCAGTTGAGGATTACTAATTAACTTTTTATCTTATTGGTTGTTTGATTGCAGCTGTATTAGACATTTATTCAAATATTGTGTTTGTAATTATTGACGGATTAAACAGATGCATGTGAAGACCTGACTCAGAATTTCATTTCACAATTTATCTACGTGCCGCCCAAATGGGTTAACTTGTCTAAATAATAATAATTAGCAATAATAATTAGCAAGGTGCTACTTACCAACACAACATTTCTTAAAAACTTACTCACTACAACATGTCTTGAACACTTACCAACTACAACATTTCTTGAAGACTCACCAACTACAAAATGTATTGAAGACTTACCAACTACAGCATGTCTTGCAGACTTACCAACTATAACATGTCTGGAAGACTAACCAACTACAGCATGTCTTGAACACCTACCAACTACAGCATGTCTAGCAGATTTACCAACTCCAACAAATCTTGAAGACTTACAAACCACAACAAAGCTCGAAGACTTACCAACTACAACATGTCTTGAGAACTTGTCCAGGTCACAGACCAGAAACCTGACAGCATATTCCGTGATGTCGTGACCATCTACTGGGAATCTGAAGGTCTCATTGAACACTGGGTTATCTGTTCTTCGTATTATCTTGGTTTGGACTTCAGTCTCCAGGTTGTTCAGAGGCAACTCTTTGCTGGATCTGTACATTGATTATTTATCAGATAAGAGGAGTGGGTAATTAAATGCTTTTTCATTTATTCTTCCCATGCTTTCATTCAGCAGAAGATGTAATTATAATAAATTTAGCCTCATTTACTGTCAGATAACTTCCCCATGACCCACACACAAAACCTCCCCCCCCCCCACACACAATTTAACTTACTCGGAACTTAATGGTATAACAGCATCATCGAGCTGTCAGAGAGACTTATTAGAGACTTACCAAAGTGTTTTTTTAAGGCTGATAAACTTTAATAGCCTCCAAGAGCAAAACTTTGGTAAAGTTTGTTTCTTTGCACCGTACCAAACACTGCATTCCAACAGCAACAAGAACAACAAAAGAAAATCGTATTTAAAGCCAGGAACAATGATCAGTTTTATTCACGCTCTGTTTACACGTTACACTCATGGGCTACATAGTGTTTAACAACGACGTTTTCAGACTTCTTTTATAGAAGTCTTCCTAGTATTTACACCAGTTAAGCCATTCACAAACTTCCTAATTCCGCGACTGTTTAACACAGTTCTTCATGTTGTGGTAAACAAACAATCGTTACATTTTTTTTTTTCTGCTTCATTTACGCGTGTGTTAACCCCATGTAAGGGTCGTTCAGCCCTTAGAGGGGCCGCAAACCCAAATGTTGCGAAACACTGAGTTAAGGCGACATTGGAGCTAAATAGGACGACTGTAGTATGTTGGAGGGGAAAGTGATTAGTAAAAGCTCGAACGAAGGTATTTTACAATATGATACTTCAAATGCCAATCTAATCGGCTGTCAAAAGGTGAATACTGTATCAAAGTTAATAATTTACAAACGTGGCGTTACCGTTACATAATCATCGTAGCGGACACCAGTCTAACAGGTAATTTTGAACAATTAACAGTTCAATCGTTAGCATGAGAACTGAATACGTTGCCTTGTGTTACCAATCATTTCCCTCAAGCCTCGAAAACTTAAAATTGTCCATGACAGACAGAGAGAGAGAGAGAGAGAGAGAGAGAAAGAGATCGAGTGGGAGAGAGAGAGAGAGGGAGGGAGGGAGAGAGAAAATGAAGGAGTAAGAGGACTAGTGCATATTCAACCTCTATCGGTTCATAGAGGTCCTAAGAATTTTAGTTTCAGCTGCATTTCCCTTTCATAACCAAGATCTGATTCAATAGGGTGGTAGGAAAATGAGGGAATGAGGGTGGGGGGGTGGGGTGCGGAGACCACCCTGGGCCGTTTTTTTTTCTTGACATTGAGGGGCGGCATTTTACCAAGATCTGATTCAATAGGGTGGTAGGAAAATGAGGGAATGAGGGTGGGGGGGGGGGTGCGGAGACCACCCTGGGCCGTTTTTTTTTCTTGACATTGAGGGGCGGCATTTTTAGTCAACTTCTGATTTTTTAATATTTATATATTATGCCGTCCCGTACAGCTAAGACCCTTGGATGACGTCACATATATTCCATTTTTTCTTCTTTTGACCTTTCAAACAAAATGGCTGTATGGTAAAAATGAAAATATATGTTAAATTGTAACCCAGCTTACTTGAGCTTGAAGGTGAAAAAGTGTTTCGGTGACCTGTAGACCCGAACTTTGACGTAAGGCATCAGGGCGCCGTCCGGGTCAGTGACCCGAAAGTTGCCTAGCTGAATGACGCGAATGTTGAGCATGCCCTTGACCTTGTCGTAGAGGACACCGTAGGCCAGTCTGCTCTCGCTCTGGACAGGGGACACCACGGTGCTGGCGCTGCTGCTGTAGTCACTAGTTCGTGATATCCTCCTCTGACGACCGCTGCCCTCCTGAGCAAAAGAAGCCCACACATTATTGGAACAGCCGCAGGCATTTACAACCGAGCGACGGTAAGCGTTAGCTAAAGCAGGCCAGCTCAACATACTGCCCGACCGCCATCGCCCGCTTTGCGGGCCCGCGAAGTAAAGAAATATTCTTTTTATTATTATTGTTTTCATAGCTTTCCCTTGTCCTATTTTCCTTTGGACCGCACACGTTTTTCATAAGGTATTAGGGCCCGCCTTAAATGTTGAGCTGTGCGGGCCTGCTCTATATCAGTTTCTTTTAAATAAATGTACAACTTTAAAACATACCGTGCCTAATACTAAGTGTAATACAAAAAGTCCCTTAAAACCCATCTGTTTAGATCCGCCTATGACCTGTGATGCACCCTGTTCGCCCTGCCTCATTTTCTGGCTAGGGTTGATCCTGTATTATAGGTCAAAACGTGCCAAAGTGAACTCGTTTTTATAGCCATTTTAATGTTTAAGCTACTGTTTCTATAGTCATTTTTAACATAGTAGTTACTATTCTAGTGTCTCTGGTTTTTTCATTTTTTATTTTACTGTAGCAGTTTAAATAGTTTACATGTTTTTAATAATTGTAAAGCGCTTAGAGCTGTAAGGTAAGCGCTATATAAAAATTCCTAAATAAATAAATAAATCAATAATACATTCCTTGCCGTATAGAATGGAGAAAAAAAAACTTTCTTATACCAACAATTTACATGTATTCTACTTACGACATTTGTATAGATTTTTTTTTTTAATTTTGAAACGGGGAGTCATACAACTATCACCTGCAACAACATCTATTAATGTTCAGGTGCTTTGTCATTTCTACTGGGTTTTAAGATAGTTTCCCTTATAGCAAATGACACATTCACAAGTCAGTTTGGCCTAACTGTAAATTGTGATATAGAAACATAAATACATCACAGGAAGACAATTTGCACAGTGGTAAAGTTGTCCATTTAGCGCCATGGCGCCTCAATGTTTTTGTTGCTGTTGAATCACCCATGCAGTTACCACCTGCAATTGGTATGGATTCCAACAGGCACTTCGAAGACTGAGGTGTAGTCAAGGGGAAACAACTCTCGTCACAATTAAACGCAAGAAAAATAAGAGATACATTCTTCATAGGTTTCTACACAGATACTCACATAGCTACTTTTTAAACTGGGAAAACTTAAGTTTTTAATTTATACATTTTTTAAAATATTTTTTTTTATCTGGCGAAGAAGGCATTTAGTCGAAACGTCCTTTTAAAACGTGTGTCTTTTTTTTTTTTCAAGACCAAACATATCTTCATCTACTATTCGTTTACTTTGCACGGCTTGAATACTGCCCCCATATGTACTGTACAAAAATTGTGACGATGGTTATGTATGAACACTTGAATAACCAAACAGTGTCAAGCCCTCACCCTTTCAACCTGGAATCCCATAACGTTTGAGTTACACCTCTGTAGATTTCCTTCACATATTGCCATTTATGTTTGGATTTCGAAGTATCCATTGATTTATGCCAAGCACTACATGACATATAGCAAGATGTCTAAAATAGAGTTATATCTTCATGTCAAATTTACACCCAACTCCAATACACTTGTTGACAGAACCCTAAAACTACAACTTATTTAGCTTCAGGTTGTGATTAATTATGGAATTTTGTCACTCAAACCAATCAAATGTACTCTTCCTCACCTTTGTTTTTTATTTAAGGATCTACCACTGGACCATCCATTTCCAAGACGTAGTCATTCCGATCTCCTATAGTATAAGCTAATTGCTACATGTGAACTAAACATTTAACTGAACTATTTACACGGCCGTAAGCTACATGCTGGCATTAAGACGTCAAAACTTGAGGCAAAGCTGACATTATAACAGCCCTGACTTGATATTGATTCTATGATGGGTTGTTTAAAACATATAATCTGTATTTCCAGCCACCATTCAATAATATACGTGGAGCATTAAAGCCATGTCGAAACATGATGTTTAAAGGTCAGAAGGCGTCACAGAGTAAATTTTGAGCAACAGTGTTGTTATCGAAAATAAACCTGAACATTTCATAGGTCACATAAAAACAGAAACAAATGCATGTCACAGTGTGTGTCGTGAATAAGCATTGATTTTGTAAGCTTAAAATGTTCCTTAAATCAATTTACCAAATAAATATTTACAATGACACAGATGCTCACATAAATTAGACACACTTCTTAAGCCTAATATGCTACTGTACAAAGCCTACTGTTTATAGATGAATAGCTTTACAAAAGAAATGTACTTTTTTTTTTTCTTAGCTTAAACATAAAAATAGATATCAAATGTTATTGACATCGCATGCTTGAGAATTCGTTTACAACTTTAAAATGTCTAAATAGATCCCAGATAAATCCACGATTTTATACCTTTTACGTAATTTAGATTCAAAATTCAATCGTTTTAACCCTAACCCTAACCCTAACCCTAACTACCATGCCTAAAATATAGTTACACATTGTGACATAATGGCAATATTAAAAAAAACACTGATGTTGGTCTATTGTTATTAGCACACTGATACGCAAATATTATTAAACCTTTGTCTAACACACCGATACACCTTTAATATCATAGGTATGTCTAACATAATGATATACCAATAATATTAAACCTCTGTCTAACACACTAATATACCTGTAACATAAAAGCTATGTAAAAAAAAATATTGCATTAAACCTCAAAACTCTGTGATTCACCTGCACTGTTTATACAATGGATACAGTTTATACAATGGATACAGTTTATACAACTAAAAAAACATGTCAACACGTTTACCTGTTTCATCTCTATAATTTCCGGCATGCTAATATCCGACCAGTCGGAAAGTTCCGACTCTTTTAATGGGACCATCGGATGCCAGAGAGGACCTTGACCTTTCACGCAATGACCTTTCCGACCAGGTGGCACTCCAGGGTCATACATGGAGCCATAAACGGGTTGGAGCGACATTTTCTCTAAAGGACGTAAAGATATAAGACTTTGTTCGTTGGAAAGCTGCCATGAAATATTGCGTTAAAAAAAATTAATACTTGAAATTACAGGGGAAAAATAAATACGTAATATAAAAACAAGAGTAAAAAATATACTCTTTAAGAAAAATGCGTCTACACTTGAAAAAGTGTTGTTGTTTTTTTTGGTTTTTTTTTTAGGTAATTGTTATAAGCCCCTTGCATGTGCCGTCCATAAATGACATCAACAGCAAAGGGCCGGAAGGTTGGAAAAGCTTGATTATATTTCGGTGAAATAATTATTCATATACATCAATCATTAATTCAATTATGTTAATTCTAATAATTTGTTTTGTTAGTTTTGATGGGTATAAAAATTGGTATAATTTCAAGATTAAACCGTCGATGAGTAGAAATTACAACCTGCTGCTAAAAACTAATGATTGGGACACACGAGTGGTGGCCGAAAGGCTCTGATAGGGGATGGCAATAATTAAACAAAGACAAAGTACTGATATCTTAAGCATTGAATGGTTAGACTAGACGAGGGAGATATCATGATGACAGCCAGTTCCATAATGTCAATTTCATGGTGATAATGATAAAATTAGCTGCTATGCACTGTTGCAAAAAACAAAACAAAAAAGAAAGGAAGGAACATTTTGAAAAGTAAAGAAGCAATAATTTTACTAAATATAATATTTCTAATTTAACAATTCTCTAATAAATTCTACAATAAAAAAATTGAATCCAGTCAAAGGAGATTTTAAAAATGTAATAAATATGTTGTTCCTGGCCGATTTCTTCATTGTTCCTGTAAAAACATAAATATTTATTTATTTTTCATTTTAATTTTTAGTGGAAGTCAATGTTGATATAATCAATTTGGGAAGGGTAGTCAGGTCAATGAAAGATTGAATGTTGTGGTCAAAAAGGCAAAAGGTGTGGGAGGGAGGGGGGCTTAAACTTGCCTTAAAATTATAGACATAATTTATGAATGGCCCCTTTTGCTTTTTGAAAATGTATTTATTGCAGAGTATGCATCAACACGCAGGAGAGCAACACGTGCCAACCAGGGCATCAGGCGACATGAACCACGTGTCGACGTAGCGCGGGTGGCATCTAAATCATGTCACTACTACAGTTTAACACAGCGGTCACGTGCCTGGGGTAATTGGGACAATAATTGCAGGAAACTTTACGAGGTCTCTTACGAGGTATTTCATGTTGTTGTTTTCCATTCACAGATATTTGAAATGTAACTTTGTAGTTTTTTGTTGTGGAAAAAGGTTGTAGGAGGAGGGAGTTAATGAATGGTGGAATAGATGATTCAATGTTCCCTCTAAGGTTTGTGTGCATAATTATACAGTTGTGTGCAAAGTTTTACAGCATCAGATTTTGTGTGTGCAAAATGTTACAGCCCACAAACACACACTTACGGGGAAATTTGCTGCCCGGATACTCAAAACTGCTGCGCGGCGTCTGTAAGTGAGATGCGCGGCCGCGCAGCCGCGCAGCTTAAAGGGAACATTGGATGGTATATATGTGATGCAGATGGGGTATACCGTGATGGATTTGTCGATTTATTGGTGATGGAAGAGTCGGTATATAGGTGGTGGAAAGCGCTGTATATGGGTTGTGGAAGAGGGGGTGGAAAGGAAGAAAAATGGTGCTTTGAGCAAGGTGGGAGTTTTATATAGCATTGAATCTTAGCGTTATATGTATCAAAGAGTTGGCTAATGAAATAGCTTTGATGTGAACAATGACAATTTTTTATAACTGATAATTTTCAATTATGTTTCTCAGTACAACATCGAAACAAAGAAAACTCAACAAGTAAAAGTTAATAGCTGGGGTCAGTCCGAACAATCGGACAGGTCTGTCAATAGGGTCTTACAATCAGCCATTTACTGAGGTGCTTTGTATGATCCAGGAAAAAAAAATTAGCAGTGTTTATTAAGATTTTTCGATGGCTTGGACACGATTTTAATGTAAAAAAAAAAATGAAATGTATCAATAAATCTTTGAGTACTTACCATTGCTGTTGTACTTGCAGGGGCAGAACTTGTTTAACCAGCAGAGGGGGTTCACAGCGCAAGCGACAATAATGAGGACAAGGAGTAGGAACAAGGCAGACGCTATAACTATCATCAACTTGTCCCATTCGTCCAGATCAATGGCCGGGCTGTCTGACATGGTAACGTAGTAACCGAAATTAATCTATAGGCGGCGCCATGCTACAAGTCTGAGGAGTCCATATGGAAAACAAAGTTAGGAGTTAAATATCTAAGACAAAGCTAGGAGACAATTTGTAAGACAAAGCTAGGTGTCAATATGGAAGACAAAGTTAGGAGTTCGATAAAACATCAGATTGTCGAACCTTTTAGATGTCAGCAATAAAGCGAGACTTCGTGCAATAGTTTTGCCCATGCAATGTTTGCACCATTAGCAACAACATATACAATGTACCATGCTATCTTATTGAATTTGGACTAATAAAAAATTAACAACTAACATGATGGGTTTCATTATAATTTATAGCAGCTTCCGTAGATATTTATGTATGAAACCGCTTTGCCGTGTAATGCTATCTCCATTAAAGTTGAACGTTTATTTGCAATATCAGTTGTTTTTTTTTTATAATATATATCATATATAAATATCACATTTTGATAGCGAGTAAATCCTTTAAGGGCGGCATGTACTTACACTTGTCATTAAAATTAACACCTGGTTAATACTGTAAACATTGCAAATATTTCTTTTTTCAATAATAAACTACTGTGGTGTTTGTTTATTTTTGCCTAGAACTTAACGTTTTAAAATTCATTTCTTCCCACTTTCAAATAATTCGTTGATTTGTTCAAAACCAGGCCGCACTATTTTACATTAATGTAGATCATTACGTTTTGTATCATCAAATGTATTGATCCAACCCCCCCCCCCCCCCCCCCCCCCCCGTATGTGATAAGCCTTTTTTCGTATAATACAGCATTATTCTCTATGTCTTATTTCTTAAATATGGATTGCAGGCGATACTTTGTAAAAGTAAGTTAATTTCGTATTTAACATCTATCGTGTAGTGAATTAGATTCGTTGTGTATTTAGAATCCGAACCTACTGTCTATCTTAACCTGCTCTCTATCTGGACCTTCTGTCTATCTGAACCAACTCTCTGTCTGATTCTATTCTCTATCTGAACCTAGTCTCGATTTGAACCTATTTTATGTCTGAACCTAGTCTATCTGAGCCTAAGCTTTATGTGAACCTACTCTCTACCTAAACCTAGTCTCTATCTGCTCTCTATGTGAACCTACTCTCAATCTCAACCTCTCTATAGTCTCTATCTGAGCCAAATCTCTTTCTGAACCTACTCTAGCTTAACCTAGTCTCTATCTGAACCTACTGTCTATCTTAACCTAGTCTCTATCTGAACCTACTGTCTATCCAAACCTAGTTTATCTGAGCCTACCCTTTATGTGAATCTACTCTCCATCTAAACCTAGTCTCTATCTGCTCTCTTCGTGAATCTACTCTCCATCTAAACCTAGTCTCTATCTGCTCTCTTCGTGAACCTATACTCTCTATCTGAACCTAGTCCCTATCTGAGCCAAGTCTCTATCTGAACCTACTTTCTATCTGAACCTACACTCTATCTTAACCTAGTGATTATCTGAGCCAAGTCTCTATCTGAACCTACTCTCTATCTGAGAATACTTTCCACTGACTCTAAAAGTAAGTATCACACAGTAGTACTATTAGTAGGGCTCAAGCTTGGGAATGTCAGCATTGCTCAGTAGCAGGGCCTAATCCCTCGAATCTCAGTATATTCGAATACTTGCTGTATATAACAATTCTCCCAAATAACAAAAACAAAAGTAAAAAAAAAATAAAGCTTTTCTTCTTGAAATTAATATTTCCAATTTTTTAAAAATAAATCTCATTACAGATGGCCTGCCAGATTGTCTCCCCCAGTTTTGTATGTTCTGAGTTGTATTCTTTTCACAGCGGAGAATTGGGGACAGGTTATTTCCCCTGTGACTTCACTTACCCGTCCTTTTGTCGGGTTTGTCGTCCAAAACAGAAATCATCGAACTCGGCCATCGATTTACATTGACAACGTGCTCACAAGATTGTTTCGTTTCAAATAAAACTATGATGCACAGAAATATGTTCACGGGACTGAGCTAAAAAAAAATAACTTGTTAAACCATATTAATTTTAATACATTGTGTTTTCTTTTCAAAATATGACATAGACTGGCGGGCTACACATAGACTGGCGGGCTACAGACAGACTGGCACGCTAGAGATAGACTGGCGTGCTACAGAGTGGCGTGCTATTAAACTTGCTAAAATAAATAACATTAAAATGTAAATTGAATCGTCATTCTGTCTTACATTTTTTTAGCCAACCATTAATTACATTAATGAGTTAATCAAAGGGAAATTCTACTGTTTTTTTTTGGGGGGGGGAGGCGAATCAATTTTGGTTATGTTGGTAGAGTTGCAATGGTAGTATGAGTTAAATTATTGGTATGAGTTGCATTTCTTGTATGAGTTACATTACTGGTATGAGTTACATTATTGGTATGAGATACATTACTTGTATGAGTTACATTACTGGTATGAGTTACATTACTGGTATGAGTTACATTGCTGGTATGAGTTACATTACTGGTATGAGTTGCATTACTGGTATGAGTTGCATTACTGGTATGAGTTACATTACTGGTATGAGTTACATTACTTGTATGAGTTGCATTACTGGTATGAGATGCATTTCTGGTATGAGTTGCATTACTGGTATGAGTTACATTACTGGTATGAGTTGCATGACTGGTATGAGTTACATTGCTGGTATGGGTTGCATTACTGGTATGAGTTACATTGCTGGTATGAGTTACATTACTGGTATGAGTTACATTGCTGGTATGAGTTACATTACTGGTATGAGTTGCATGCTACCGAATTAGAGTTTTAGCCATTATTAAAATGTTTGTCCAACCCATTTATAAAATACACTAAATTGTTATATGTTATCTTGACTAAGGTAAGAGCTAACACGATTTCAATGTGTAATGTATAGGAATGGAAACAGTTAGTTATCCGGAGCACACTCAGTCCGTAGATGTTCTCTTTAAACATGTATTAAAAACACGTTTAATTGTATCAATAGAATCCATCTCTCACACACATTTACCACTAGGCACCAGTCTTTCTTAAAAACGAACTATCATGCTCCACATCTTTAAGAGGTAAGAACATACTTTTTTTTCAAATCAAGACTTTTAAGTTATTATACCACTTCTTCAAACAAGCGTTTCAAATTTTATTGCTAATAATTATATCTCTTTACCAGATGGACCGCAGCAGAAACACATTGTTAGAGTTATTCAAACGCTGCACAAGTCTTTTAGCACTGGATTCGACACAACTCACACTCAACACACTGTTGTAACGGCGTTTTCTCAGACACTGTTTACATTTACAACTAGCAATTTAGTACCCGTTGTTATTGCGAGTGTCTTTCTTGCCCTGAGCTCAATGGTATTGATTTAATCGAACGGTTTAAACTTCAACCACCCCCCCCCCCTTTTTCCATTGGTGCAATGTTCATTTAGGGCATATGTTACCACAAAGCAAGATGCGGAAAAGTTTACTACCTTCATACTTTGTATTGTTGCGATGCTACTTTATGTCAAGAACACGATAGTGGTAGTGGCGATTATGATTCGCCTTCCCAATCTTTATCTAACATTGTGTCTATGTGGGAAAAAACAACAACAACTTAAGAGGAACTAGTACTTAAAATAACAGTTAGTGTCCAAGTACTTTAACTCATCAAATAAAACACAACACTTAAGGCAACCTTTAAACTTTTCTGATGAAATTCTACTTCAATTTCATTGGCTATGTTTCTCAATATTTTTTTTTACAACAGTTCTTGATATGAGCCTACAGCTAACATTGCTGTAACTAATCCAAGGTACGTGTGATTCCCATTAATACGGTGGACCATTTGTAACATGCTAATGTTAACAAAGGTAACGTCATTATCAAATGAATGTCAGGCCAGATGTTACCCCAATGATTACAATACAAATCAATAACAGACCCGCCTCTTATGACTAAACACACTTTCGTTTTACAGTAAAAAATGATAAACTTTCCCCATCTAACCGAATGCCTCTCAAACAATGGTACGCGTAACACGTGTAGTCTAACAAGTTCCATCAGGTGTAAAAATTGCCTTCAATTTGTTTTGATATTTGAACCTAAAAAGCCAATGGAAATCTCGGTTAAATATTCATGCACTGATTTCCTGTTTATCAAGCACTAAGGGATCTTCTATTATTTTGGAAACTGCATGCCGTCAATACGTTATACATTATTTTAAAAAGCAGATCATTTTTTTACAATTTTTTTTTTAAAAATTAGATTACAATTTTTAAAGGAAAATTTAAAAAAACACCAACAAACAACACAATTGCGGCGTAAATCCGTGAAGTTCCCATTGACTAATGGTATGTCACAAAACATGCACTCAAGTAACGCACTTTATGAGAATCCGAATTAGCCCCCCCCCCCCCCCCCCCCCCCCCCCCAGGTTCGCAACAGCACACATTTTCTCGCGCCCCTGAACTATTTTAAATATTCTAATGTACCAACCCCTTTCACACCGAGGACTTACGACACCGTATTTAAACTGAGACGATGTCCGTAAGACAAAAGAAAATACAATACAACAAACGCAACTGAGGTATTTTTTTTTTAACAATCACATTTAGCGAACTATTTGGGAATTTTTTTTTTCGTGAAATGAGCGCCAAATGGTAGTGTTAGTGACGTAGACAATTGTGTGTTTTGATAGTTTGACCAAAATGTATTGACTTGATGAAAGTTCTCGACATGGAAAGGCTGGCATTTATACATAGAAGTATTATTGGGTTGGCTGCTTTTTTCAGTACATTTCTTTTTTGGTTGAAAACATTTATGTGTATTTTGAGTTGGATTTTTTTTGTAATTCCTGGTTGGCTTGATCGCCAGCTGAAGGGAGGTCGTGACTTGCTTTGTTCTCTAGAATAGTGATTCTCATCATAATTTTATTATTTATTTATGAAGTTAATTTTGTATGCTATGGTATTTGATTTTAATTTTTTTTAAAATGTGTTTCTAATGTAGATACCATACAAGACTCTAGTCTCCATAATGGGAAAGGGAGAAGGGGGGGGGGTGGAGGGGGGCTAACACAATGTTAAAAATTGAACGTGATGAATTTATTGAAGCATTTTTGTTAATTACAAGGCTGTCCGTGGAAGCGGAGCGTCTCCGATGAAACTTGGGGGCGTCCCCATGGAATTTTGCCTTTTCGTGGCGTGGCAGACTAGTGGGGAGGTTTCCTCCCAAAACTAAAAAACCAGGCCACTGCATGACTCCCAACGCAACGGGGGGAACGCAATAGCATGTTTACTTGTTGCCGTTATTGAGGCCTGGGTGACGGACAAAACTCTTGCCGATAATTTTAGCTACGCGGCCCTGAGAAAGTCGCACCTAGGCGACCGTTTCGTCCCCGCTTACGTTCCAACCGGAAAACTCCCTGGACGGCTGAAGGAGGTAACACAACACCATTCCCCGGGAGAGGAAGCAAAGCCGCTCAAACCATAGGAGAGTGGACCGCGAACGCTTTAAACGCAGCGTTTTCAGTCGACCGGACGTCCCCAATGCCAAGGGTAAGGTTCACGACGTGCTTCCGTACGGTCTGTCGGCGGGGAGACCCGGCGTCGGCCCATGTGGGGGTGTGCCGGGGGGCGGGGTATTGAGAGCTTACGCTCGATGACCCAACGACGCCATCTCCAATGTAACGTTAATTACAAGGAACAAGGTGTTTGGGGGGGGGGGTATGGATGTTACGAATATGTGAAAGTCTGCTAAGCGGAAATATAGCAACAATAGTTGAGATACTCCGGTGGGCAGAGTCCAGTGGATTGCGAGTTATCCTAGATGACAGAGTTAACTGGATGGTGAGCTGTTCAAGGTATGAGAGTCAGGTTGATTGTGATTTGTTATAGATAGCAGAGTCATGTGGATGTTGAACTGCGCTAAGTGGCAGAATCAAGTGGATTGTAAGCTGCTCTAGGAATCAGAATCAAGTGTATGGTGAGATGCTCTATGTGGCAGAATCCAGTGGATTGTGAGTGTTCTATAGAAGACAGAACCAAGAGGATGGCGAGGATAATATAATTTTTTAAGATGTACGCTTGCAGTGTAATGGTCCATAACAAAACCACCGTGTCTTATTTACATCCCTATCTCCAGCAATCAATTGTACAACTCAAGCAAGGCTTAGCTCGTGTCAACCGGGTTAGTCATACGGTCCTTCTGACCAGATGTTCAGTGTTGAGCGAATCGATTACGCAGGAGCTGTATCATTGTGTGAACCACGGGTTAAAGAACTTTTCTTTTTATTTCTTTTTTATTTAAAAACAAAAAAAAAAAAAAGAAAAAAAAAACTAACTCAAAAAAAAACGGTTGGATAACATGTTTATGCTTTATAAAATGTCAAATGGTGGTCGTAAAGTACCGGTATTTAAAAACAATTTTTATTATTTTCTCCATAAGTTCTTGCTATGGTGTGTCACGTGAATAAATGCGGCATAGATATGTAAAGACATCGGCTCTGTGGCAAGACGGGATTTGACGTTTACTTTGTACAGTTAACTGTATCTCAAATTAATGTCATTTGTTTGTTTTTTCAATTAAAGGGAGCAGTAGCAGTTTAAATATGTTAAATTAATGTAATTTGTTGTTTCTTTTCAGCTAAATGGAGCAGTGGTAGTTTAAATATGTCAAATTAATTTAATTTGTTATTCACCAAAAGTAATGAGAGAAATTATGCCCGGATATCCCTAACACCTTTATCCCCAGATATCCCTAACTCGCTTATCCCCAGACATCCCCCAACCATCTCATGCCCCGATTTCCCAAGATATCTCAAAATTTTCCACAACTCATACAATGGTTAAAAGAAAGATTTTGAGCGATCTCTCCAATCTCTTATCAGATATATTGTTTAACCAGGTGGCAACACTTACCAAGACCACAATTATTTTATCGAATTTTCAACACAAGTCTGTTGATAGACCCTTCCACAAGTCTGTTGATAGACCCTTCCACAAGTCTGTTGATAGACCCTACCACGAGTCTGTTGATAGACCCTTCCACAAGTCTGTTGATAGACCCTACCACGAGTCTGTTGATAGACCCTTCCACGATTCTGTTGATAGACCCTACCACGAGTCTGTTGATAGACCCTACCACGAGTCTGTTGATAGACCCTACCACGAGACTGTTGATAGACCCTACCACGAGTCTGTTGATAGATCCTACCACGAGTCTGTTGACAGACCCTACCACAATTCTGTTGATAGACCCTACCACGAGTCTGTTGATAAATCCCTACCACGAGTCTGTTGATAGACCCTACCACGAGTCTGTTGACAGACCCTACCACGAGTCTGTTGATAAATCCCTACCACGAGTCTGTTGATAGACCCTACCACGAGTCTGTTGATAAATCCCACCCACGAGTCTGTTGATAGACCCTACCACGAGTCTGTTGATAGACCCTACCACGAGTCTGTTGATAGACCCTACCACGAGTCTGTTGATAGACCCTACCACCAATAATAAACTCTTGGATTACAAAACACAAAATTTAGAGAGAAAACTTATCAATAACCTCGTGCATCAGGTGATGCCCCTGACATAAAGATTTAATCTAAAGTTGTAGGTCTTAAACTGGTTCGGATAAATTGCATCAACATTAAATTTTTAGAATTCATTCTTTTTTTTTTTTTTTTGGTAAATATAATAATATACGTCTTGTGGAATTTCCATTGCCCTGAAATCAGTCAAACATTTCATAATGCAAGAATATGTATATAAAAAAAAGGTTGAGAACCCTTGTCACAAATAATAAAATAAAGATAACATGAAAAATTCTGCATCTGATGTACAATAATAAAAAAACATCATCTCTTTTTCTTAAATATAGGTAATAATTAAGCCAATAAATAAAATGTTTACAAGGATATTGTTAGAGAAAACCATTTATAAAAAAGTATGGAGTCTCCTTAATTTTATCTAGTAACAATAAATTGTGCTTTTTACAATTTCTCTAACGTCCATCAATAGGCATTCATGCCTAAATGACATTCATCTTACTGCCATCAGCACGCCTGACTTAGCCTCAATCTATCGCTAACAATGTTAGGTATAACCAGCCAATCTGTATTTCATGCCACACACAAGGCTGTATGGACACAGTGCTGGGAAGACACCAGCTGTACGTTATGGCGACTATGAAACAGCTGCAGATGACTGTCAACGTTTATAAATAGACTACGATAGCAATGGCTCCTTAACTCTCTTCACTCAGATGGACTTTCAGAATAGAATTTAAGTTGGACATAACCAGTGCTATTGAATGTTTGCCCCTTTTTTAAAAAGAAACAGCTCTGGTTTCTTACCGATTTATTATCGAAAGAATGTTAATTAATTTTAAATCTATTGGAGAAAAATGAGCCATTCTCAAACTAACGTACAGCGTAGCACCACATGGAAAACTAAATTGCCCCAAACTATTACACCGGCGTTGCATTGGCCCTTTGCATATTTATAAGAAATCCGAAATTGTGATGAAGAAAGATAGTCTATCAATTTGGTTTACTGAAAAGGGCACAAAAAACCAGAAAGTGACATGGGGGACTCTGCCCATACATTTGCGTCAGATTTGCATTCAGCATTATTTTAGATGTACCCCCCAAGTAGTATTCCAAATGGAAATCCAACAGTTGTCAGGAATTACAGTCTAGAGTCTTCGCAATTTACAGTCTGAGGTCCTCCAGATTTACATTCTACAGTCCTACAAATTTACATTCTAGAGTCCTACAAATTTACATTCTTCAGTCCTCCCGATTTACATTCCTTAGTCCTCCAGATTTACATTCTTCAGATGTTTTATCCAAGATTGCTCCAGATGTTTTATCCAAGAAAGTTCCAGATGTTTTGTCCAATAAGGCTTTAGATTTTTTATCCAGGAATGCACCATGTTTCATCCAAGAATGCTCCAAATGTTTTATCCAAGAATGCTCAAAGGTTTCATCCAAGAATGTTCCATATGTTTCATCCAAGAATGTTCCATATGGTTCATCCAAGAATGTTCCATATGTTTCATCCAAGAATGTTCCATATGTTTCATCCAAGAATGCACCACATGTTTCATCCAAAAAAGTTCTAGATGTTTTATTTAAGAATGCCCCTGATGTTTAATCAAAGAATTCCGCATGTGTTTTATCCAAAAAAATGCCCCAGATGTGTTATCTCAGAGTGCCCGAGTATGTTTTCCATATTTGAGTGATCAAAATCCTTACGTCAACAAAACGTTTCTATGCTTTTCAAAATTTAAAAAAAGTTTAATCACAAGGCTGACATTGGAAAACCACTTCACGTAAATAATTATGGTAAGGAGCTTTGTACTCTGTGCATCGAGATGTGAAACTAAATGTAACTACATTTGAACGCCATGTGCATCGCTCTAAATAGCGGAAACATTTGCTTTGCCCTTTGAAAGCCATTGAATAGCTTGTCTTCACCTGACAGAAATTAACAGTGTCAGGGCCCTGGTATTAATCCAAATTCATTATATCTTTATCGTGTTTGTTAAAAGCTAAATATGTGATGTAATCAAATGTTCGATTATGAAAAACTGATCGGTTATGTTTAGATTATAGAAGTTAAGCTGAACCATAACAAGTGACAAACTCATAGGATATCAAAGTAAAGACAGGGAGAGTCAGAGTTATTGATCATAGTTTACTTGAATAACTAATGTGTGTTGACAGGAGTAACAAATAAACATTTGCTGACAGCAGTAACAACTCAATATGTGCTGTCAGCAGTAATAACTCCATGAGTGCTGACAGCATAAAAAACTCAACGTGTGCTGACAGCAGTAACAACTCAACGTGTACTGACAGCAGTAACAACTCAATGTGTGCTGACATCAGTAACAACTCAATGTGTGCTGACAGCAGTAACAACTCAATGAGTGCTGACAGCAGCAATGTCTCAATGTGTGCTGACAGCAGTTTCAACTCAATGTGTGCTGACAGCAGTAACAACTCAATGTGTGCTGACAGCAGTAATAACTTCATGAGTGCTGACAGCATAAAAAACTCAACGTGTGCTGACAGCAGTAACAGCTCAAAGTGTACTGACAGCAGTAACAACTCAATGTGTGCTGACAGTAATAACGTCATTCCCATTAAATCTCTCGTTAAAGTAGTATAATGTTTGTTTGTTTAAAGTTAGCTGTTTATAAATGAAAGAGACCCTTTGTGGGTCAGGCTTGGATATAGGAGGTCATTTATGGATTACAATCGGGAAATCTCTCATAATTGTCATTTGCGGATCAATTAGAAATCATTAATATCTGGACTAAATGTTTGGATGTCATTGACCAGCAAGCCACCTACGAACTCACTGTGACCCCCTCCCCCCACCCCAATCGTATGACTTGATGGTCCTAGTCAATATTGACCGGACGAACAACAAAACGAACAATAACAACATGTCAGGGTCTAGCAAGCGACCTACGAACTCACTGTGACCCCCTCCCCCAACCCCAATCGGATGACTTGGTGGTCCTAGTCGATATTGACCGGACGCACAACAAAACGAACAATAACAAGATGTCATTGACCAGCAGGCCATCTCCGAACTCACTGTGACACCCCCCCCCACCCCACCCCATTCGGATGACTTGAAGGTCAAAGTCGATACTGACCGGACGAACAACAAAACAAACAACAATAACAAGATGTCATGGTCTAACAAGCCACCTATGAACTCAATGTGACCCCCCTCCCCCCACTCCAATCGGATGACTTGAAGGTCCTGGTCGATATTAACATATTGGTGGACCAACAACAACAAGAAAAAAAAAAACAATAACATGATGTCACGAAGCTAAAAAAATATCAAATCTTCTTTTGCCTTCTATTATTCAATTGAGATGTTCATCATAAAAGGACTGCGATTTGGCCAGATATTTTGAGAGCGTTTATTCGTCGCCATGGACGTAAGAGTAATAACTTACAATAAAATAGAAATGTTCAAAGAAAATAGCGAAAGAAACTATCTCCCTCCCCGACCCCACTTAAACCAAAACAAAAAAAAAAAAAATTTTCAAATGTTCTGTCTGTTCTTTTTTAAATCTAAACATAACTTGTTGCACTGTATAATTTTTTATTTCCACCAAAATTGAACTGAGCATGGTGCTGGTATATGCAAATATCTACCGTATTTTCCGGTATTTCTCGGTGTATAAGGCGACTGGTCCTATAAGACGACCACCACCTTTCCCTTTTAATATAGGGTTTGGGCTATACTCGCCCTATAAGTCTACCCCTTACTTTTCCTGTTAAAATATAGGGTTCGGGCTGTACTCGCCCTACATGACTAGCCCTCTTCAAACGCACATCAAATAAAAATAAAATACAAATTTATTTTCATTATAGTAATATTAATTCAAATGCTTATGACATTCAGGTACTGAGCAGGAAAACTTTGCCTTATAAATATAAGGCTGTTTGACCCCCAAACATAAAACTGAAGAATTGATTAAACTTTTCCTAGTTCACTCTAAAGCTGAAAGGAAGGATACGACAATAAACCCCACGGGGGCTGCCATGCTGTTGGTTTTCTAAGCTGTCAACCAACCTGGAACTAGAGAGGCGCCTGTCCCTGAAGTTTCCGAACGCATTATACCAGCTTATAAGACGACCCCCGGCGTATAAGACGACCCCCGGCGTATAAGACGACCCCCGGCGTATAAGACGACCCCCGGCGTATAAGACGACCTACCCCCGGCGTATAAGACGACCCTCGGCGTATAAGACGACCCCCGGCGTATAAGACGACCCTCGGCGTATAAGACGACCCCCGGCTTATAAGACGACCCCCGGGGTATAAGACGACCCCCGGCGTATAAGACGACCCCCGGGGTATAAGACGACCCCCGGGATATAAGACGACCCCCGGGGTATAAGACGACCCCACGGCGTATAAGGCGACACCCGGTGTATAAGACGGCATCCGACTTTTCAAAGATTTTCATGGGTTAAAAATTCGTCTTATACGCCGGAAAATACGGTATGCATATTGTTTACATAGCTCCCCTGTCATACATGTTACATACATGCATTCTAAAAGACTACACCGGATGTTCTACTCTAACCGATATCCAAGCATGAGAAAAGTCTTTACTCAAATTGTTTACCAAAGTTAAATTTAATCTAACAGATTCAAAGACTTGTCGGATGCAATGTTAATTACACATGGAAATGCATTATCACGTAATTTTTACACTAAAGTATATCGTATTAGCATTAACCAGACCCGTGGAGCATCACCGTTTGAGAAAACACCAAAACATTGCTTATAATCTAAACTGACCTGAATGTGTGTTTAACATACGATCTTGGGTTTGGGTATTTTAGATTAACATGCAAAGAGCATCCATCCAAAATGAGGCCACACTTACGAGATCGGAAACCACAACCAATCCGATGTGCACTCCGTGTCCCACCAAACTACTTACTCCCACAGCAGCACGAAATGGTATGTGTGACAAATATAATGACTGACCTGGGTAAACTACCGTCCCCCCCCGCCCCCCCCCCCCCACCACTTTGCTCTGCCCGGCTACACGTTGTGTGTGTGTGTGTGCTGGGTCGGCTCAGCCACCTGTTGCTCCAGCATCGACTCACACACACACACACTACTCGCTGTTTACGCCATGTAAGAGACGGATTTTTTTTTTCTGTATTCTTCTTCTGGTGTTTGAATTATTCATAAGATATTTAAATCACTGGCTATGACTTGACTACATGGCAACGTTAGACTTCTCTGTGGATTAATCAGACGCCATGATCCATCCTGGAATATATTAAGATAAAGTTGCTTGTTTTTTAAGGTTTTTTTTTTTTTTTTTTTTTTTTCGTGTTTTTTTAAAAAATAAATTTTTTTTTTTTTTTTTTTTTTTTTTTTTTATTTTTTTTTTTTTTAAAGTTTTTTTTTTTTTTTTTTTTTTTTTGCGTGTTACTTTAAAAAATAAATATTTCATTTAAATTTAAATACACTTGTAAGAAATCATTACAATTTCACTCTAAATATTTCACCCTCTTTCATTTGAAATGCTAAAATATATTTTGTTTAAAAATTAATAATTGAAGAGTGCTCCTCTTTATGTTTGTGTGTGTGTGAGAGAGAGAGAGAGAGAGTGAGGAAGTATTTGGAAAGCTTGTGGGGGTGGCGTGTGGGGGGGGGGGACTATTAAATCTAGTTATTCATCTCTACCCAATGGTGAGCATTCATCGGGCTATAACTTGATCCAAACATTAGAATGGCCATCTCATTTACCTTTTAAAGATACAAGTCATCCTAGATGTAAGAGGTGAATCATAGTTTTAGAGGTGTGAAGAGCCGAAAAGTAATAGGAATGAAAGTGTTCGTATTTGTAGACGACTAAATACCTTAGCTCGAAATGAAACATAATAGAGTTCATTTTTTTTTACAAGTAATATATTATAAACAAGTTTTCAATATTTAAGATTTGAAGTGGGCGGACACATGGGGCATGAAATTTAATGAAAATAAATGCTACACTATGATAATCTCAAGAAAAATAAAACATCAACTCATATTTACTCACTAAACGAGACAATCCTCCAACAATTATCCAATAGTCCATAACTTGGAATTCTCTTCTCCAACTACCTAAAATGGTCACCCCATATAAACAAAATTTAAAAAAAAAAAGCCAACTCCACCCTAGGTTTCATCCGAAGAAATCTGCGCCACTGTCCATCTTCCTGCAAACGGAATGCCTATCTCGCCCTCGTCCGTCCACTACTGGAATATGGTACGATCATCTGGGACCCACACCTTAAGCAAGACGTTGACAAGATGGAGCGAATTCAAAGAAACGCGGTGCGTTTTATCGCTCGCGACTACAAATCCACCACTCTTGGCTTCATCACTGGCCTCTTAAAAAGAGTTTACATCCCTCCCCTTAAAGACAGACGAGAGGGACTCTGTCTGACATTCTTATATAAAGTGATCATGGGATTGGTGCCGGCCATCCCAGCAGGCACATACCTCAGCCCACAGAAGCCGGGTAGACTGATCAGAGTAAAACGCTTACTTAACACTGATTTCACCACTGACATTCCCATAAACAATTACACCAGAAACAATAGCAAATGCTTCAAAGTACCTCAGTGCAACACAGTGCAGTATCAACACTCTTTCTTTCCACGCACAATAATAGCATGGAACAACCTGAACGATGCCACTGTGAACTCGACATCGGCCGAAAGATTCAAGGCTTCCCTGGCATCAGCTAGGAGCTGTTTGAATAGCAACATCATGCCCAACACCGTTGCAAAGATGCCAGTACATGGATGCAGCAACGAAACATTACCAGAACCAGAACCTCCAACGCTTATATCCAGATTAAAGAGGTGATTTTATAATTAATACAGAAAAGGTCTCCACCTATACTTTAGCACCAAAAAAAAAAAAAAAAAAAAAAAAAAAATATACTCAAAAAAAAAAGAATTTGCAAAGATGCCATTACATGGATGCAGAAAAGAAACATTAACAGAACCAGAAACACCAACGCTTATATCCAGATTAAAGAAGTGATTTTATAATTAATACAGAAAAGGTCTCCACCTATACTTTAGCACCAAAAAAAAAAAAAAAAAATAAAAAAACTCTTTACTCACAAATAAAAGCAGCGACCGCTAAGTACCTAAAGATATTCATGTGTAAAGTTGCACTATTCATGTCAATATTAAAAAGTAATAAACTAGTATTCGTAGATCTGTGGACCTATCTTACCAATGTCAAGCAAGTTTCATTGCGAATAGCCTCATAGATAACAAACACGTTCTCAAGTATTGTAAAAAAAAAATAATGAAAGTAACTATTCGAAAAGACAAGGCTAAAGCCAAGAATTAATAACACACACAGTGGACAGCATACACACGACTGACCTTATCTTTGATGGATTGAATGGTGGACCGGCTTATCGTCTACTGACAATCCGTCAGTCAGCCAGCATTGTTACATTCTATGGATAGGTCGGTAGCGGAAGTAATGAACGCCACTCACAAATAAAAGATTACCTCCAATCTATAACGACTAACCGAGGAGGAAAAAAGGGTGGAATGGGAGGGGTGGGCTGCAATTTCACTCACTCTTGGCCCCAAAATTACCCTTAACTTAATATTTAATGGAAATCTTTATTTAATGTAAGAACATTATTACTTTTTTTAAATGAAAAAATGATAGAGTGGTAAAATTGAACCATAATGTTGTAAGCCTGAGCCTGGGTGGAGGGTGGGGGGTGGGTGGTAGGGCTGACACATGGGGGTTGCTAACTCATTAAAGAAAGTTTACGGAGACACATTCCAAATGTTTTAGTGGTTTTATTTTTTAAGGACACATTTTTAACGTGGCGTTGTCGAATGTATGAGGCAAACAAATCAAATAGCCGTACGACTATATTTCCATGACTCTATGTACCATGACAACTATAAACAGTTCACGTAGGTTCTATGGCTCTATATCATATGGCTATGAGAAATCAGTCTACCTTTAAGCGGTAGCCTCTTGCATGACTTTTCTCAAAAGTTTTCTTTGCATTTTAAGCATAAAAATTTTAATCAACCGTTAAAAAAATTATTTAAACCATGTCTTATTTGATTGATGGACATCCTTCAGTTCTTAAGGGCGTGTCATTTTGGGTCAAATATTTACAGACTATTTGTACATTTGTTAAACGGTTTGCAACAAAGGTGACAACGAACAGAAAATTCGACGGAACTCACTCAACCAAAGCATATATAAATTATTATCTAGGGTAAACAGAAGAGCAGGGTGCGACCAGACAGTGTCTCAAGAATAGGTTGCAACTGGCGCAGGATGCCACTAAGACCAAGTGTCTCAAGAACAGGTTGCCACAAGGGTAGGGAGCCACAGGTAACGAGTGTCTCAAGAACAGGTTGCCACAAGGGTAGGGAGCCACAGGTAACAAGTGTCTCAAGAACAGGTTGCCACAAGAGTAGGGAGCCACAGGTAACAAGTGTCTCAAGAACAGGTTGCCACAAGGGTAGGGAGCCACAGGTAACGAGTGTCTCAAGAACAGGTTGCCACAAGGGTAGGGAGCCACAGGTAACGAGTGTCTCAAGAACAGGTTGCCACAAGGGTAGGGAGCCACAGGTAACGAGTGTCTCAAGAACAGGTTGCCACAAGGGTAGGGAGCCACAGGTAACGAGTGTCTCAAGAACAGGTTGCCACAAGGGTAGGGAGCCACAGGTAACGAGTGTCTCAAGAACAGGTTGCCACAAGGGTAGGGAGCCACAGGTAACGAGTGTCTCAAGAACAGGTTGCCACAAGGGTAGGGAGCCACAGGTAACGAGTGTCTCAAGAACAGGTTGCCACAAGGGTAGGGAGCCACAGGTAACGAGTGTCTCAAGAACAGGTTGCCACAAGGGTAGGGAGCCACAGGTAACGAGTGTCTCAAGAACAGGTTGCCACAAGGGTAGGGAGCCACAGGTAACGAGTGTCTCAAGAACTGGTTGTCACGGCAACTCGCATAACATCATCAACTCCAATGTTCTCTAACTCTCTGCTTAACTCATCTGTACATTCTAGCTGACCATACGTCTTCTTAGTTCTTCTAGATCAAGATTTTTTTTCTAAATTCTTGAAATAAAATATAAGAAGAGTTGACCAATGCCATATCCAAAACACGCAGTTCTCTAAATGATCTATTTACATTAATACCCTTTAAGCAAACGTATAACCATTAGCACTTTGAACATTAGGCATAAGTGATATGGTTTTAATGTCCCGCCACTGAACAGTAAGTAACTGATTATCCCTTACCCACTTCGTTCCTTCTCGTTATGTCTTTTTCTCAATTAGTTTATATTTGAAATATATATTTGACATCTCCGTATAGTTCAAGCACTATTTCCACATGCACCTACAACCAATTCCCAAGTATCGTTTAGCCACTGAACACCTCTATCAAAAGTATTACAATAAACTTTATAACCCAGCTATTGCTTACTACCCCATAAGCTAAAGCCAAATGAACCATTATCAGCATTTTTACCGACATAGTCTTCAAAGTCGTAGGTGTAACCTGACATAGCATCGGCCATTACCCACAACTTCATTCCCCATTGTGTGGGTTTGTCCTTAATGGATTGTCTGAAACTATGTCTTCCCTTGTTCTTAACCATTCCTTAAATATATTTTGATGAGGCTGATAGAGTTTCTTGTACTTTGAATTTAGATACATAAAATATAGTGTTCGAACTTTGAATTGCTTGACACTTTTATTTCCAGGATTTGCATCTGAAACCTTTACAAAACTCTTCACAGCCTTGAATCCGCCTCTAGTCATAAAGGCCCTTAACCCATAGTCATTTGTATAGGGATTTGCTTGACCACAGTCTTGTAATGATAGGAGCTTGAAAAAAAAGTACTGCATACATAATTATTCCAATGAGTCGATGAAAATCTTCTTTGGTG